AAAGAAATGCTGAGATTAATGAAGCATCCTGGCCAATATGTATGTTTTTCTTCTATAAAAACACAATCCTTTGCAACATGTGTATCTCACTGGATGTGGAAATGAAGATATGCTTTTGTATGAAAAGAATATATATTCTTTGAATCTGAAGTGATTGTCTTTTATTCTGTCATTTGAACATCATTTATGGGGTGCCTGTGGTGCCAAGGAGGAGCTCTGGTGGTACAGTGATTTAGGAATTTGGCTGCTAAACAAAAGGTCGGTGGTTTGAACCCACCAGAAAGATGTGACAGCCTGCTTCCATTAAGATTTACAGCCTTAGAAACCCTATGGGGCAGTTCTCTACTGTCCTGTAGGGTTGCTATGAGTTGGAATTGACTTGATGGCAGTGGATTAGATTGGGTTTGGTGGTACCAAGTTCTCTGAGCTAGTTAGATATGCTGTGTGTCTTCTCACCAATTCCATCTGTTGTTTTATTCTAGGTTGTCCATGATGCTAACACACTTTACATTTTTGCACCTACTGCACAAAGCAGGGACCGGTGGGTAAAGCAGTTAAAAGAAGGTAAAAATCATAATAAAATACTAATCTATACAAAAGTCTAATACATAACATTATTATGACTAATGCAGAAAATGTATGCATTGCATTTATTTTCTTTTAATCCTCATTAAAACTTTCTTCAAGGATTTTCTGCTAGTGTCACTATCAACAGCCTGAAGATAACTTCCCTTTTCAAAACATAGTTCCTTCTAGTGGCATTTTTGTAGTTTCTGAGGAAACTATGTTTTCATTTAACATATCATATATTTGAGGGTGATAAAGTGCTAAACTTCTGTGATCAAAATGATTAAGTATTTTGTAAGAAATTGCTTACGTAGTCAACATTTGATTGAGAAAGCACTTGTGTGGATATATTGGCTTTTATGTTACGTGTTTAAACGGGTGATTTGTTCTGTATAATCCCTACCACTTCTCCTGTGGAAAAAAACAGTGGCAGGCTGACATTTGCATGTTTCCAATCATGGTTGAGCAGCAGTTACGTCTAGTAACAAGAACACTTCACCAAAAAAGGAGGTGACTGAGAACCAGGTGACTTTTCTGAATGCTGAATCATGTGCTTTGTAAGAGTGTTCTCATAATAAACATGGTATCTGAGGAATAAGTCATGACTGACTGTGTTATAAAACATTTTGTAGTCTCTGTTTCAGTCCACTAATCATTATTGTATCTGTGAATTACAGAAATAAAGAACAACAATAATATTATGATTAAATATCATCCCAAATTCTGGGCAGATGGAAGTTATCAGTGTTGCAGACAAACTGAAAAACTAGCACCTGGATGTGAAAAATATAATCTTTTTGAGAGCAGTAAGTATTCATTTTATTCTAAAATTATGTGCTCAGAATGTATATTTTATCTATATGGTGAGAAGGTGGCATGATTTTATCAAGCAATTAGAAAGTTAGAAAATAGAATGTACA